ATTAAAATTAGAAAACTCAAAGTACTTGATAGTTGATATTCATAAATAAATGCTTAACATGACATTAAGAAAAGTAATTAGATGGCGTCTCCGTGTTCAGTTTTATTATAACAACGACTCACCCAAACATATAAATTAGATCAATAAAAATACATTATCAAAATGGTTTTAAAAGCGAAATTGGGGCAAAGTCTATCCAATGATAGTGAGGTCATGTCATAAGCCAAAAGTCTAGTTGGAATTCTAAGTCATCACGAGCATGTGAGAGTTGAGAAAACTGAAGTCCACGTAAATCCAACTTTTAACTATACAAGCATAAGAGTTTAAGAGTTTTTATTAGATAATGGTAGTATAAAAAATAACAATCATAAAAAAAGAATATAGTATGTGATGCAATCGAGTCTTTGAATGGGATACATTCTGTAAGGATGAGTAGTGAACATGTTGGTAGCTTTTTGGAACTTGTGAGCTTTTTATGGACCTATCGATCACAACCGAAAGCAAGGTCGGTCCTGAGAAATTAAATATCTTCAAAGGCCCGAAACGAACCAGAAGAAAAAAACTTATTGTTATTATAAGTTCCTATTTTTAAATAAAAATATATAATAAAAAAAACTGAAACCTGTGTAGCTGTCCACTTTATCCCCTCTCAAAACCCCCATGACAGAAAGCTAGGTCAACCATAATCCAAAAATATACTATCGTTTTGAAAATTTTCGAGAATTTTGTCTCTAATTTTAAATTTCTGTCAAGTCAACACACTATGTAATAACACCATATGTTTTCAGTCTTAACCTTTGCCCACTGTAAACATATAAGAAATTAGATATTCTTCCATTTTTTTTCTATTTATATTATTACCTATAAAAAATGTTGACAAATATCATATTTAGAGAATACTAATAATATATTGATAGATTTATCATTATTTCAGATGAGTAGTAAAAACAGATAAAACAATATTTAATCTCTCTAAACATATATCATAGCTCTTTTTTGTTATATTGATATATTGTGTAGATTCTTCTACCCTGTTTTGTGTGTGTGTGAGAGAGAGAGAGAAAGAGAGTGTGTAATAATAAATAAATTTTCAAAAATATAATGTAAATATTTTATATGGATAATATAATGAGAGAGAGAGAGTAATAATAATAGATTTTCAAAAATATAATTTAAATATTTTATATGGATAATATAATGATAGGAATCATATCGTTAAGAATATACTCCATAAGATAAAATAAAAAAAAAAAGGAAACAAACACAATTCAAAACAAAAGACTATTTTTTTAATAGAATATCATAATAGTTTTATCTTCTAAAGTTTTTTTTTTTTTTTTCATAAAATAGCAAAATAAAAAATCTCTAAAACTACCATAATTTTAAGAGGTGGGCCACTGGTAAAAATTTGGATTTTGGTAATTTTTTTACAAACTTCAAACATATATAACTCTATTTGAGTTGATTTTTTTATTGTATTCTTCGTAACATGCAAAGACATAGTATATTTTAAATTTAAATGTTGATAAATCATATTTATTATCTCAATAATAAGCTAATCGGTGAAAAATATGAAAAAATAAACTCAACTTTGATCATTGATAAATTTTGTATACAAACTTCATCCGTGCAAGTTTTTTTAGTGTTTTCTTTGTAACAAACTTTTAAGGGACATGTTACACTCTCAATTTGGATGTCGGAAGTTATTTTTTTTTAGACAAAACTTCAAAAATTGTCTCTGTGGTTTTCAAAAATATCAAGTTTAATCCCTAAGTTCAAAAAATCTCACAGATGGTCTCTGTGGTTTCAAAACTTTTGACATTTGGTCATTCCGGCTCACTCCGTTAGCATTTCAACGTTAACTCATTTTTTAATAAAATATTGCAAGGGTAATTTCGTCATTTCAGTTGTAACCTTCTCTCTTTAAAAGAAATTACATGTCCGATTTTTGGGCAAACCCTTTAGCTTTATTAATCGTCATCTCTCCTCCTTTCCATTATTGCTCGACCGTTGCACCCTTCACGACATCCAATCGCTTCTGATTCAAAGATGGTGACTTGCAGATGTGGGAATGAAGCATTCAAGATCACTTCATGGACGGATCGTAACCCTGGAAGACAATTTTGGAACTGTAGAAGATGTAGGTTCCTTCGATGGTCTGATCCTCCTATGTGTGCTAGGGAATTGGTGGTGATTCCAGGTTTGATAAGATCAATGAATCGATTGGAAGAGAAGATTGCCATTGCAAGTGCAGAATTGTGGAACTACCAGCTGATGTTGTTTTGTTCATGGGTGTTTTTTTTGGTATTATTTTAATCTCTAAGTATCCTGTGAAGGTTTGGATGGTAATGGAGTTTTGGTTTTTGGTTTGTAACCATTGCAGGGGGTTTTTTATTTTAATCGAATAGGGGTTTTTTTGCTTTCAGTTTATGTAGGTGGTTTTGGAATTGGTGGTGTTGTATTTGGTTTATGTATCAGATTAATGTGTAATGGAGTGGTAACAGTATTGGTAATGGAATGTAGTTTGTTATAGTTGATTGTTCAATTTCTTGAATGTTTTTGAAATGCAATTGTTAAGTGTATTGTAAATGCATCTTTAAGATGGTTTTCATTTGCAATTGAAATGTACAATGTTATTAATTGATCTATGAAGGGTAGTACACAAAACATATTAATTCATTCCCAAAAAGTGCATACACACCATTACATGCAAAGTTATACAGTTCTTAACACAACCATGATGCAAAGTTTTCAAAAGACCTACAACACAAGCATTACATGCAAAGTTTTCAAGTTCTTAACACATCTTCAAACAAGTACACATGACTTGAGTTTCAAAATACCTACAACACAAGCATCCTAATAACTACTAAAAATAGTTTTCATCCCCCTCCAACTTCACCACTGCCTCCCTACCCTTTACATGTTCTGGAATTGTGCCCTTTGTTATGACACTTTGAACAAGTGACTGCCAAATATTTCCTGCTCAATCTACCAACTTGGTTGTTTGGCTCATCAACACCCCTCCTTCTCTTCTTCTTAGGCCTCCCAACCTACACATATTGATATACTATAGTTAAAATTGAATTCATTCCATGTACACATGTATATTATATATTTGGTGTACTTGAAATACAAACCTGTGTCTTATGTTTTGGTGGAAGTAAAGTGAATGGGCAGTCACTTTTAGGCCACATTGTACGTCCATTCAATGGATCAATTTTGTCGAAATACATGGCTTTCCATGTTGATAACCTATAGCAAGGATGGACCCATTCATCAACATGTGGGGCATTTTCACCATTTTCAAGTTTGTCCCATATAGCACAAACAACATGTCTACATGGGAAACCTGTAATCTCCTAAAACCTACAACTGCAACTTTGATCATTCAAGTTTACCACATACTGGTCTTGCCATCTGCTTGCCACTTGGTACTTTCCTGCCCCATTGTATTTAGCCACATACTTTGCTGCATCAGTCTTAATCTTTTCAAACAGTGTAGTTGCAGTAGGGGTTAGAAGTCCTTCACACTTATCTATTTCCTTTTTCACCACACATAACCTCTTCATGAGATACTCTCTAATATACTCTAAGCAAGTGATAATAGGTTTATCCCTACCTTCATCTAGCTTAGAATTGAATACCTCACAAAGGTTATTCAACAAACAATCAGTATGTGCCCTTCCTGAATAATAAATATTAAGAGAAGACAATTATACATATAGTAAACACATAACAGGGAAGATTAACATTTCTCGATAAATTTCTAGAAACTTACCACTAAAGTAAGATTTAGCCCAAGTGTTTGCTGGGATCTTACACACCTAATCATGAGCCTCTTCATTGATCTTCTTCGACTCGTCCATTTCTCTGTTAAAATGATTGACTGTTGTTGCTCTACCACACTCCCAAAGATGGTCACTTAAGTCTTTTCCTTTCCATTGTTTCTTCATGTTTTCCTGGATATGCCTCAAACAGAACCTGTGTTCTGCACGAGGGAATACCTTCTCCACTGCTGGTATATTCCCTAAACAAAAGTCAATGCATGCAACATCCGTTAACCAAATGTATTTAGAAAAGGCAATAAAAAAAAGTTAGGTAATACACACCTTTTGTCTATCTGAAATGAATGTAAAGTTTGAATTTGGTCCAAGATTCAGATCTTCTCCTAACAGTTCCAAGAACCAGGTACCATTACTTTTTTATTCTGTCTCTACCACTACATATGCTACAGGGTATATGCCATTGTTTGAGTCCAACCCTACAACATTTAACACTTGCCTAGGTTAAGGGACCTTCATGAAAGTACCATCTAGACCTAGAAAATCTCTTAACCCATATTTGAATCCTAACTTTAATGCACCTAGACAGACATATATTCTTCTAAAAGTTCTTATGGTAATAGACAGGGAGGTTTCTGGATACACATCAATCCGAACTATTGTACCAGGATTAGTGTTGAGTAGCTCCAACACATAATCCCTCAAAAATCCATACTGTACTTGGTAGTCCCCACTAATGATACGCTCAGCCATTGACTTTGCCCTAGCAACCTTTTGCAATGACATTCCTACCTCCAGTTTCTTGCACAACTCTTTGTGTAAATCTTTCACTGGAATTTTAGGGTTACTCTGTATTTGTTGAACAATTAAGTTTGCTACGTATCTGGAAGTGCAAGCTTTAACTGCCCTTGTTTGCATACATTTATGCTCATCATGTACTGTTTTCACCAACCAATCATGATTTTCATTAGCCCTCGATATTTAGACTGCCCATGGACATGTACCTTTATTGGCAATTACATCTTTACCCTTGCACTTTGCCCTACTTCTAGTTGAGGGCCCACCACCATCAACTACTTTAGAAGGCTTACTTACAACACCTTTACATTTCACCCTAATCTGGATTTTGTCATTTTTGGCTAGGTATAAAGACCTCCTTGTTGCTACAGCATGTGAGTTCATGTAGTTTTTAATATCAAGCTTGGTTTTGAAGACCTAGCCAATCTGAAATCGTTTAACATGAACCTCTCCATGTGAGCATGTACTTGACTTACTCAACTCTTTTAGCAGTCTCTTCCTATCATCTTCATGAAATCCTGCAAATTGATAATCATCAATGGCAATAACTTCCAACTCATCATCAACCATGTCAATCCCTTCATCTTTTGAATGTTTGTTCAAGATTCCATGTTCATCCACATCAACAGCATTATGGAATTCACTCATGTCTACATCCACATCAAATTGTATGTTAGACTCATCAACATTGTATTCACTATCATCAGAATCATCTCCACTATCCTCAGAACCATGGCCACTCTCAGAGTAGAAAGCCTCTCCACTATCATCACTCACCATACCCTTTAGATAATCCATTTCTGGTTGTTGTTCAAATGAAGTTTAAACATTAAACTCAGCATCATAATCATCATAAAGTGAGTAATCCTCTATAAATGGTTCATAGTCATCAACTCTTGTAGTATTAGCTCCATCATCAGCTTGGCAGCTTGGTTCCTGTACATGGTAAGTTCCCAATGGTTCTTCAGTTTCAACTGCACTAGGATCACTTCTTCTTGAGTTTCAATTTCATGATTCACCACATGACTTTGTTTTCCTTGTGACCTTATAAATGGTAGAATACTCTTTGAGTAATCATTGCCTTCATCAACATCTAACACTTGTGACTGCTCATAATCAGGGTTCATAGACTTGTTTAGATCAAGCTTTCTACTACATGATCCTGCTTCTCTCCTACAAGGTTTCTTTCTATTCATTTCAGGTGACACACTATCAGGCTCCAACTCTTCAATAACAACTTTAGAATGAGACTTGTAATAACTAGCTACCCTTGTCTGACCAGTTTCACTATACACCCTAATAAGTCTGTGTTTAGGGACATATGATACCATTTTAAGAACATATTGATCAGTACCTAAAGGCATTAAGCCATAATCCAAAGGGTATTCAGGGATACATAAATGGTAGTAAAGGGTTTGCTCAGTTTTGTACCCTAGTTCTCGAACCATGTCGTCAAGCTCATCAACTAAAAATAAATCAGTGTCAACATCATCTACATATGATACAACACCATCAACTTATTTCCTTCCAGGTGCTTTGGTGAAGACACCACAGTAGTGTATCTTCAACGTGAAATAGTTGTCATAACCTTCTGCAAACACACAAAAAAAAAAAGTAAAATCAATGATTTCCTTACGTCAGCACAATAGACCAAGAAAAAACAAGTTTTGTTGTAGTATTATACCGTATCTTTTTCCTAAGTCCTCCACGGTTACAAATTTTTCTCAAAAACACCATATTGATAGCACCATTGCAATTCCTACATCTTAAAACCCTAAATCCCAATTTCTGTTCTTGCTTCTACGATGGGAATGAACCCGATGAATACAGATGTAACTGTTTATCTTCTTGGGAGAGGGACGGGTATTGATGTGCAAGCAATAGGTAATCATTTCATATTGACGAGAGAAGGTTACAACTGAAATGATGAAATTACCCCTGCAATATTTTATTAAAAAATAAGTTAACAGTGAAATGATAACTGAGTGAGCCAGAAGGACCAAATGTCAAATGTTTTGAAGCCACAGGGACCATCTGTGAGCTTTTTGAACTTAGGGATTAAATTTGATATTTTTGGAAACCACAGGGACCATTTTTGAAGTTTTGTCTTTTTTTAACTTCAAAATAGACTCTCCGATGAAAATTGCAAAGAAAAAAAAACTTTTGCAACATTGGCATACAAAGTTCATAACAATCAACATATTAACCTTGCTCCACGAGGTTAGGAGGATGTGCCCTTCTAATTCTTTGTGGGTGAATTTCTTATATGGGCAAGCAGCGAGAGTTTATATAGGAGACCAACATATATAGTTTGCCACTGGGGTGCAGCAAGGCGACCACTTGGTCCGTCTTCTTTTTGCTCTCGTTTTGCACCCGCTTGTGCACAAGATTAGAGACAATTGCAAGCTCATTCTCCATGCTTGGTATCTAGATGATTGGACAACCAGTGCGGATTCAGAGGTGTAACATCCCAAAAAAAACTACAACAATTTAAACTTTTTCAAAACAATCCATTTACTAAAAGAAGTGTTTACAAAACCATTGTTTCCAAAAAATTATTTAAAATCAAAGTCTCTCAAGATCCAATCGGTCAAAGAACCAAGGATGTGTACAGTCACGCCTTCGCCTAGTCGCAATCATCTAAAGTACCTAAAACAATAAACTGAAATTGTAAGCACGAAGCTTAATGAGTTCCCCCAAAGTACCACCACATAAACATAACAAATAACATATACAACAGCATGTCGGGTCTAATCAACTATCGGGTTGGAATACCCCAGGCCCAATCAACCTCCAGGTCCAGTCATCCTCAGGATGGAATACCCCATGTTGGAATGCCAATACACTATGGGTCCAGTCAACCATCGGGTTGGAATACCCCAGACCCAATCAACCATCGGGTTGGAATGCCAATACATGATGGGTCCAGTCAACCATCGGGTTGGAATGCCAATACACTGCGGGTCCAGTCAACCATCGGGTTGGAATACACCAGGCCCAATCAACCATCGAGTTGGAATGCCAATATACTATGGGTCCTATCATCTTCGGGATGGAATACCCTTGGGCCTAATCAACCATCAGGTTGGAATACCCCCGACCTGTTGGCTCACGCACAAATCAGTAAAGCCTCAACCACCAACCAAAATATGTGCACATATAACATATAACATATAATCAATCTACAGAAAGTCAAGCAAATCTATAGATCACTAGCATAGAATCATCCTATCTACTAGAATACCACTCATGATAACATATTATCACAGAACATGATATCTAATCCAATGGGTCGGCCTAGGTGCCTTCGACCTGTAACTACGGTGAGGAAAACTCACCTCTCAATCTGATCAATAGCTGATGAGGTTCCAAATCCAAATCTTAGTTCTAACTGTCACCTATCCATCCAAATGACCAATTCTCAAACACAATCTAAAATACACATTGGTCAAACTTGGTCAAAATCAGGTAAAAGTCAAAATTCCAAAAAGTCAATCGATTCAACCAAGCTGAGTACACCCAGCGTACTCAACTATACGCCCAGCGTACAGGTTGGTTGACCAGGCACGGGCCTGATTTTATAGATCCAAACCCAAAATGATGTCCTTGACCATAAAGTTTCCAACTTTATGGTCTTGCATGGCCATTAAGTGCTTAATGTCCAAAACCCTATGTTCTTAACCTATTAAGACCATCTAACACGTGCATGGGTTACATACAACACTAACGATCATATTTTAATGGTTCATAATAGCTCCATAATGGATAAAGTTTCCAACTTTATCCATTAGAACGGTCCGAACAAAAACATTCTAATCGTTAAATCTCAAAGGGACCCAAAAAGTGCATCTTTTCAACTTAATCCATTAAGCCCAAGTCTCTAATCTTCAGATCTGAATCAAAATGATGTTTGGATGGATAAAGTTTCCAACTTTACCCATAACAAGGTCACAAACTTTCAAGATCTAAACTTTATGCCTTTAAAGTGACCAAAAGCTCATAACACTCAAAACTAGCTATAAATCTAACAATATCATCATCAAGATCCAAACTGTATACCTCTAGAAGAAAGATCAAGGTGAACAAAGTTTGGATGTACAAGCTACAATGCAACCAACACTTCTTCCATGAGCTCCTTCTTCTCCAAGGTGCACCAAGCATAATCCAAAGCACTTAAAAACACCTTCTTTTTGCTCACAATGCTCAATCTAGGGTTAGGGTTTCAAGAGAGGGTGTTGGAGAGGTGGAGGCTAAGAATAGAGTGGGTTTGGGGAAGTTAAGGAGCTTAAATAGGGCTCAAACCACGAAAATAGGGTTTGGGCACTGGTTGTACACCCATCGTACTTAAATTACACCCAGCGTACTCAGGCATACTCAACACACCCAACGTACTCAAATTACACCCAACGTAAGCGGCCGACCCAAAAAATCATCATGACTTCAAATGGTCATAACTTCTTCGTTCCACCTCCATTTTTGACGTTCTGTATATCCACATAAAGGTATTAAAGAGCTATAAAATATTATCTAAATATCTTGGACCAAAAACTTCTCGAACAAAAATCCATATTTCACGCAAGAACCCAACTTATGGCTTTTCCCTTTCCACCCTTCGGTCCAAAACACAATTCAAGGGTAAAATCTCTTAACTATCATTACATCCTTCCACAAGGATTAAAATTTTCCTTCTTAAGGCCCAAAGCCTTAAACAATTGACTTTCGGCCCACGACACAAAAATGGCAGGAAACAAGATGTTACAAGAGGCATGCTTTGGTCATGAGTTGAATGGTCCATGCTTTGGCTAGAGTTTTGAACATTATTCGGTGAATGGTCCATGCTTTGGTCATGAGTTGAACATTAAGAAAACGAAGATTTTTTGGCCCTCCTATGATGGTAGGAAGTTTCATGCTGATTTATTCCCAACGGATATAGGGAGACCATCTTTGGGGTTGAAGCTCCTAGGTGTGGGGGGGGGGGGGTTGTTAGTAGAGACGTAGGGTTTATTAGCGGGTTGGCCATGAAGAGAGCGATCAATGTTGTTGATTTGATGGGTCTTCTTCCATAACTATGTGACCCGCAGAGTGAGCTCCTTTTGCTTCGATCGTGTATGGACATTGCAAAACTTTTCTTTGGTTTAAGGACATGTCAACCGGTGCACATAGAAGAGGCAGCTTTATTCTTTGACAAAGGATTGTACAGATCTATCGAGGATATGATGGTATGTGGAGGCCCCTTCTTTAGAGACATCCAGTGGCGTTTGGCTTCCTTATCTATTCGTTTCAGTGGTTTGGGTTTGTACTCAACATACGAGGTTTCCTCATATGCATTTGTAGCCTCGAGGGTCCAATCTTGGACATTAAAATACCACATCTTACGTGACAGTGGCATATGTGGTATGGACTCTAATTACTTTTGTGCTTTGACTCTTCTTCGCAATATGAATCCGGGATTCGACAGCAGCAGTTTCACTAATAAGGACACCCTCCCCCCCCCCCCTTAAATCTTATAGCATTGGCGTATGCCCTTTTTAGCAAAATCGTCAAAGATATGGAAGTCGACTTGGACATGACTGTCATACAGAAAACAGTTTTTGAGTGTCTTCGGGAACCTCACGCTCATGATTTTCTGCTAACAATCCCTATTTATGGCCACTGGCGGAGAGAATAGGGGGGTTGTCGGATTCTTTTCCCCCTTGATGTGACATCCCCATTTTCATGGCCAGAAAAGACCGATTTTGTTTATGCTTTATAAAAATCAGAGTACTTCTTTTAATAAAAATGTTGCAGAATTTGTTCCCAGAAAAACATGATAAATACGTTATTAAAACATTTTCGAAGAAACGTATTTCATTCATTTCAAAACGTTTGGGATGTCATTGTTAATACAGAAACATAAGCATAAACAGAACTTACATTTATTTACACTAGTGATCTACATTTCTTTAAATCTCTCAGTGTAATGTGACTTCATATCAACACCTGTGATATAAATAAACTGAGTGGGTCAGGTTGGGAAACCTGGTGAGTACATAGGGTTTTCAACCCACAATAATATAATTATTATGTTTAAACAATCAAACAATTAGCCCAATTACCCATTTCCATTATCTTCTTTAATCTTAAGGATCTACCCTAAGAATTAGCTATTCCTCGTTCATTCATTCCTAAGGATTATCCTAAGGAATCGACACAAAGTCCATCGTTGCCACGGTTTACACAACGGGCACTAAGTCTGCATAGTCGCCAGGGTTTAGGCATCAAGTCTGCATGATCACCAAGGTTTAGGCATCAAGTCTGCATGATCACCAAGGTTTAGGCATCAAGTCTGCATGATCACCAGGGTTTAGAGTACACCGGGTGAACACATCGTTCACAACACCTACAGGTTGCAAGCCTGCTAGTGTTCCACTGACTGTCTAGAAAAATTTGTGGTTGTCATCCATACTCTGCTAAATGACGGGGCCATCATTTAGGAAAAAGCCTTCTCACATCATCCACCTCTCACCCTCACCTCGTGGTCTATAACACCTCTCAACTCATCATTCAACTCATATTCCATCTATTATATCTACCCATGTTTACCCCAACATTATCATAGATATAAAATACATATACAGTTTAATTCATTTAAAACATGTATAAAATCGTTCATTTAGCATAGACAACAAGTACTCAGATAATATGCACACATAACACGTAATTTATATAAAATACTTCATATCTATGTGTAAGATGAAAGGGAACTATGCACTCACCTGATTAGGTGGTGACTCGGCACTCGGACAGCGCTTCGATACTCTCAAAATGATATTCATTCGATAAAACCTAGTATCGATACCACTAGGGTTTAGTCTAATGATAACCGCGACAAATTAATTATCTGACTATTATTATTATTATATAAGCGTTAATAACACTCAATATAACTCATAATAATAGCCCAAATAATTATTTTAAGGACCTAATAACATTCCTATATTAAAACATAAGCTAAACTAAAGATAGGATAGGTACAACTCACTTACAGCGGGTTTTTCTCGAAAACCGGGCTTCACTGGAGCAGCGTTCCCGAGCCGAAAGGCTCTTTTCTCGGAACTCCGGGAGCCTCGGGGCTTCCTTCGGGTGCTAGGGGGTTTACCTAGGCTTTTAGAGGGGTTAAGGAGCTTAGAGAGAGAGTTTAGAAAGAGAAAGAAGAGGGTTGAGGTGTGAAGAGAAGGCTAGACCCGGCCCCTCTATTTATAGTGCAAAAATATGATGGACTCGCCGAGTAGGGGAGACCTACTCGCCGAGTTGGTCCATGTGGTGGCCTTCCGGTGGTGCCACGTGTCCAATTCTGGTGGTGCCACGTCACCCCCTATCGAGTATCAGCCTTCAAACTTAGAAAAATCATAACTTTCGCATACGAGCTCCGTTTTCGACGTTATTTATATCCACGTGTAGGTAAATTCAAGATCTACAACTTTCGTTTAGACTCCGTCGGCTAATTCTCGACCGATCTCAAATTTAACAGTAGGAGGCGTTTAGACTGTTAAATGACCGCGAAGAATTCATAACTACTTCATACGGACTCCGTTTTCGTATGTATTTTTATCGTTGAGTTCCTATTAATGAGATCTTCAAATTTCATGTAGGTCACGTAAGCCAAAAACCGCTCGAACTAAAATTCGAGTTTCGGGTCGTGCACTGCTAAGTTGAATCTTAGAAAAATCATAACTTCCTCATACGAAGTCAGATTTGGGCGTTCTTTTTATCGACGTTCTTATTTTAACATATTATATGACTTTCATTTGGATTGCTAAGGATAAATCTCGCTCTATCGTAAATTCACTATTTACGCTTCCCGGTGTCGTGCCGGTTTTGCCGTAAAACTTCAACGGGCCATAACTTCTTCGTTATAACTCGGATTTCGGCGTTCTTTATATGTACAGAAACCTTGTGATATATTCTTCAACTTGGTTAAGATTATTTATTCTAAATAATCTTTTGTCGAAAAGTCATTTTCGACCCCTATTGCCTCTAAATTGACTAGCCCGGATCTACGGGCGTTACACTTGATCTCTTTGAAAGTTCTATATATTATGTATAAAATGAACCCATATCTATTACTTATTAATAATGAGCCACTCCCATTTATTAAAAAATTAAATGATTATCATATATAAATAAAAATGACAGTGAAAATTGTAAACGTCTCACTTAAAGATCATTGCCTCCATCCTTATTTCTTATATTTTAATTGGTCATTGTTTATATACCTATTTATCTTAATTCGTCACTATCATTTGTTTGCAA